TTAGAGATTGAGTTTTCTGAAGGAATCGGAGGGATCGGATCGGGATCTCGCATTCTTTTTCCAATTCTTGGGTAGGTTTGTTTCCCTTCTTGCCTTGCTGGGTATGTACGTTGGGAGGGAAAGTATATTCTTGGTTTGGTATGTTTTTGCTGTTAGTATCTATAGGTTTGTGTGGTAGTCGTAGATTGGGTGTTTATGGTTTTGTCTAGGAATAGATGATTAAATGATGGTATGAAGTTCGGTTTTGGATGGATTTGTCACGTTTACTTAAGAGCTTAGTGTTTTGAAATTGCAGGTAAATAGGTAGATAGGTAGGTAGCGACAATCATGATTTGGTCTGAGATCGAATCTCATCCTCGGTGGGAGAAAAGCTACGTTACAAAAGTAGGGCTGAATGAGAAACGCACAAAATGAAGCAATAGGCAAGGACGTTCAAGTTTAATAAAACCAAACTCTCACATGAAATGGAGCAGTAGTGGGCGAATGGTAATGTAGAAAGGGGGAGAAATGGAAGGTCTCACAGGATCCGAAACAAACAGCCCTGGAAACCGATGGTGTAGTAGGCAATGTACTGAAGTGTGCATCGAAGGAAGAGACGAACCCAAAAACTCCGGATGACCCCGTCACTCCTTGCTTAGTACAATGTGCAGAGAGAACAAATAGACGTGTAGAGGCAGAAAGAGACAAAGCCAAGTAGGTGAAGTCATGAAGTGTATCCCCGTAAGCAAAGTCAAAGCCAGACTTGAGAGTCAAGAAACAAAAACACCCCACGCCCAACAATAGTAACTCGCAAAGAACGCCCCGGGAAATGCCTCGTGTATAGTAAAATCTTTTGGAAATGCATTCGAAACCTCCAGACCCTAGACAATGTCGCAGGATCAGGTCTCCATCACAGCGTCTCCGTCCGCGTCGGTACCGTTGCGCTCGGCTTTGTCTGCAACGCCGTTCTCGTGCGCCGATAGAGCGGTGTCCTCGGCAGGCACCATAAGCTCAAGCTTCTCCACGTAGGACTTGCGGCTAACCGACTTGGTGTGCTTGGGCTTCCCCTCCACACCCTTGCCTTTGGAAGGGGTTACAGGCTCGACATTAGTCGTCTCGGCTGCTTCATTCTCCGGATCCGTAGTCCCATTGGACGTGGGCAGCTCGTCCTCACCGACAGCTGGGTTGGTACTCAATTCGGGTTCGGTGGATACATGGGTCTGAGACGTCGTATCTGGCCCATCTGCCGGTGTATTCTCCATATCATCATACGGCTCGTTCTCAATGCCATCCGGCTCTGCGCTCGTAGAATCCACCGCAGGGGAGTCAATCAGTTTCGCGCTACGGCCGCGCCGAACACTAGCTGGATTTGCGGAAGGAGTCACGGACGTCAAAACGGATGCTCGTCTGGGAGTATTGCGGCCACTGGTCCGAACGGCAACTGGTGTCCCGCCCATCTTGGCGGATTTGCTGCCGAACGGTCGGCCAGGACGCTTCTTATGGGATGGTGCTTGCACTGGAGGATAGATCTCAAATCTCCAGGCAGGGACGTCTCCAGCAGGATTGGACTCGGCCGGTGTGCTCGAGGTCGCCGACGCCGTATTCGGATGACGGAAGCCGTTCACATTAGAGAGCATATCAGTAGAAGGAGGTCCAGCCGGCTCAGTCGGAAGCTGTTCGGAGTCGACGTCGCCAGTCCCATTCGTGGTTGGAGGACCAGAGCCATCCTCCTTAGACTCGCCAACATCTGTTGGAGACTGTCGCTCTTCTTCGTTTCCAGACTCCTTCACATCCTCGCTTTCTTCATCCTCCAGGCCTTCCCGGGGTGCCACGGCGTGTAACGGGGCGCGATCAAACTGGGATTGGTTGCTCCGACCCATGATGTAAGGTGTCCATACGAGCGCGTCGGGGTTAAGCTGGACATATCCTTTGCTTTCCCAGCTGGCGATGCACTCCTCGAAATATCGGTAGTCAAGCCGCAAGGCGTAAGTCTTTGTCACCGGGTCTCTGACAAGCGCCCGCAAAGCTTCCAGACCGGACACGATGTCATCTGCGGTCATACCGGTCCGCTCAGATAGTTCGGTTATACTAAGCGGCGTCCTTTGACTCCGCAACTGGTAAGATAGAATGAGACGCCAGTAATTCCTATAAGAAACCAACCCCATATCAGATAGGGGCTTCTCCGGCGAGCCCGTCTTGCCTTCAATGCGCGTGAGCAAGTACGAGAAGTCGATGAGGAGGTTTCCATAACCTTTCCGTTGGTGAATAGGGAGTGTGAGAATGCAAGAGACATTATTAGCCGAGCTAGGCCGCTTCTCTTTGCTGAAGTAGCCAACAAAATGGCAGCCCAAGTCATCGAACTCCGTCATGACATAGAATAGAAACGGCTCAACATCATAATAGAGTGTCTTCGAACCCAGGAACAACTTGGCGAGCAGGCAGAGATTCTGACAGTAAACGGGGTTTTTTCGTCCGTCAACTTCGAAGATCGATATGGACCCTTCACGGTAGATCTCATCGCCCGGAGGGTGTTTCGCCGGGCATTTGAGCTTGTGGCGCCACGCGACATAGTCTGAGTTCATGTATTTCAAGCAAAATTCGCAAATGTAGAGAATGCGATTGCGACTGTACTCCTCCGGGTATGGTGCCGCGTACCAAGTCTCAATCTCGTAGCCGCCAAAGTTGATGTATTTGATTCTAGACGGGGGACCGGACACCTTCTGCGACGCATGCTGTACAGTCTCCCCTGTGCTCTCAGCTTCTAGAGCTCGTCGTTGCCACTCTTCCTCCGCTTTTTGGCGGGCCTTTTCGAACCTTTCGCGGTCGAGGTGAGTTGGCAGTGTCTTGGAGGTATCCGCATCCGTCTCGGTCAGGATGCCCCCATACGGTTTGCCCTTTAACTCATCCGTCTCACGGTCGCTAAATGAATAGAATGGGGTGTAGTAAGAGGCGGGTGTGATCGGTGCAAAATGAGCCTGAGGCTCGTGAGCGACGGGTGGTGGCTTTGGGGTCCTTCTGCTTCTCATCTGTGACCTGCTGCGAGAATTGAGAATTTTTGACAGCTTGGACTCGTTGAGGCGAAACGCCATCACAAGACGCTCAAATTGTTTCAACACCACGCGACAGTGCTCTTGCTCGTTCCTACGCGTACGTCGCGAACGAGTCCGTACTGGGGACATGCCATCAGCTGTCTCAGCCATCTGTTCGCGAGAGTCCGCACGATCGTAGCGCAACGGTGTCTGGCGTTGCCGTTTGCGAAGCACCGGCGCATGCTCCTCAATCTCAGCAGAGAGTGACATGGTCTTTCTCTTTCGCAGCGACCGAGAGCTATTCAATAGTTCTTCGTTGACAGTGACTGTGTTGAAAATTGAATGGAAATCGGAGCCGTCTTCACCCGTATGAGCCGGCAGGAGCTCCTTGCGCATGTTTTTCTGTCTATTTTTCCGTTGCGGCGCCGCGCCATCTTCCTCACTAGGCTTCAACTTCTCGCGCACGCACGTCGGGCACCTCCACGGGTTCGCATCTAGACGGGTCAGCACGAGGACACTCTCGGACACTCTAGAGGCAATTTATTTCAAAAAGCAACGTACCTTCTGCATCCCCTAGTGCGTTTTGCTCGCGGGCACACTGCCGATGCGCTGCCGGGTTGCCGAGTCAGTAATGATCGCCCAATATCCGGGGAAATTATAGTTTGGATGGGGCCGCAACCCAACGTACAATGATCGCCGCAAACTGCGCATGTCAAATATTCCTCAAACTCCTCACTCGGATCATTATCTTCATCTTGCCCACAAAATCTGTCCAACCAGTTAGCCGAGTTTCCACGGGTATATTGTCGAACAAGGCATGGGCCAGGTCCCCACTCACATGCAGTTTCCGCGGACCGTGGTCTCCGCCTCCGCATCCTCATGGTCATTGCTTTCGCCCTCCCACTCTTCATCCGACTCCTGACTGCTCGATGAAGAACGGTGCGCCTCCTGTTCGCTGTCACTCTGGTTTTCGAATGCCGGATCTGCCTCCGCATCAGCGGCCTCCGACGCTGCATCCTCGTCGTCGGCAGACTGGCCGTTCTGAGGCACCTTGACTGCGCCAACCGGCTCGGTATCGTTCTGATCTCCGACCAGACTCATCTCGTTATCCGGCTCCCCTTCTGCGTCCTGATCCTCCCCAAGGTCTCCAGTCGCAGTATCGTCCGCAGCCTCCCCGGTGAAAGCACGGTGCGCGGCGTCCTGAAGCTGCTGATCCATCTGATACAGGTCCGTTTCCTCCTCCCCTTCCGCATCCTGGTCACTGTCCACCATATCGGCCGGGGTCTTCGACCCGGGGTCGTCGTTGGCCAGCGGTACAATAGCCGGCATAGTGTATATCACGGTGGTCGCCAGGGCTGTCACAATAGTCGCCAGATAATGATTCGGGGATTTGAGATACAAGGCAAGCCCAGGTGTTGAGGCTATTCAGGCTCCCCGCGAAAGTAGACGATCATCTGGTGCCGCGCGTGAACCGGGCATCGGGAAGCATAGAACGAATTGCCTGGGGCACCACAGCTCTGAAGACCACACACTGTAAACGGAGATCCGCACAAGATAGAAAGCTCGATTCCCTACAGCAAGCGCATGCTTTCCAAGCAAGGTCAGTGAGGAGTAGGTAGCAACAGCGGGAAGCGGACAATGGCAAGCAACACGTGTAGCGACAGGGCGAAAAACGTACCGTGCCCACAAACAGAGCAGACACTCCGGATCAAGCAGAAGTAGACGCGTGTAACAGCCAGGGAAACGCCGTCTCAAGTCCACTTGCGCAATCAACGCAATCGTCGGCGGCCTCTTTGCCCCTTCTCCTGCCCGTGAGGTTGACGGCCGTGCTGACTCAGCCGTCCCGCCTAAACCGCTTTGGGCCAACCTCCAGACCTCGTCGACGAACGGCGGATTCCCGCGGCCACACCAGCTTCACCTCTCCCCTCGCTGCTACTCCAATTGAGCCTTGTGCATTGCTCTTTTCCGGTCTTCTCGACTCCTATCGTCATCATGGGTGTTCCCTTTGAGGCTCTTCTTCCCTTTGGTATCATCATCGGAGTACGTCCAGCGACCGTTTCCTCCTCTCAATTGTATTCGACTTGGCGGGTACTGACCAATGCGTGACACAGTCGTTCACTGTCGGCGGTGCCGGCTTGTGGGCGGTTCGGAAATGGGACAACGAGGGCAAGATGCCGCGGTGGAATAAGGACAAGTGGGATAGAGTAAGTGAACCTGCCAGTTACCCGATGCGACCGGGATCAGACGTACTAACTCTTACACAGCAAAGTATGTGATAACCTCGATTTGACGTCGTGCAACATCCAATTGGCGATCGCCTATTTCCAATCTTGAAGCAGAAGCAGCGAACTAACCACCGACTCCCCCCGCCTACCAGTGATGGAGAGAGACCTGAGAATCACGGGCACGAAACGAGGACAATCGAGCAACCACGAAGCTCCCAAGGGATTCGAGCTCAGCAACCCCTGGAAGGTACGAACCAGCACCATCAGCAGCAGTGAGCGAAGCAAGATACTAAGCTCTGGCAGATCGAGAAACGGATTTTCTAGACAGCATGGGTTGTCACACGTCATGTCATTATTCCCGCCTGTTCCTTATTTATTCGGCCGCATTACTTTCGAGAGAAATATCCACGCAATGAAAGATTGTTTGTATCATACTATAAAAAATTATCTGGCCGGCTGGGTACACCGCCAGGTAGAATTTGTCTAAGCCTTTGTTTCCACATCTATATCTATTTGATCTCAGATACAAAACCGCGGATAGCCTCGACTTCATAGTCGCGGAGGTGCATATCAAACCAGTTCTCCAGGGCTTTGACGCGATCTGCGTCCCTTTCCAGCGTCTCTACAACCTCCGTCTTTCCAAACTGTCTCTTTTTCACCTCCCGCCCAACGAGAAAATACATCCCCTGCACTTCACTCTCCGCCTCATCCATGATGAACCTCGTACAAACCAGCGACTGCGTGAACCAGCTCGTGGGCCGCTGACTCGTTGCATAATTCATGATCTCGAAGTCCTGCGGCAGGAACTCGGTCCCCAGGAACGAGTACATGGGAATCCACCTGCTATCAGGCGTATACCTGATCTGGTAGATCCAGACCTTTTGCGTCTGGTCCGCATACTCAGGCAGGGGCTCATGAACGAGACGCATCTCCGTCGGAGCCATGCAGACCGAAACGACATTCTCTTTCAGTGGCAGGGGACGGGTAGGCCCATTACCCCCGAAACCGACGTCAACCTGCACAGCCATTAGCTTGTAGTTACCAACACCACCCCGTAGGAGAGACCTAGTATATACATACCGCGTACTTTTCCCCCTCAATCAGCACAATCAGCACCATATGCGACCTATACCATCATTAGTATATCTATACCACCATCCCCATAAAAATTACTCCTAGTATAGATAAGAAATAGGAAAAAACATACATCCCCGAATACAACTTCTCCAACCCCTCCTTCGCCTGCCCCGTCGCAGCCAAACACACCCTCCCACCCGTCGCATAAACCATATACCCTAGAGACTTCAACACCCCATACAGCAGGGTATTATTCTCCATGCAGTAGCCATCCAGCCTGCGCGTGACTAACTTCTCATAAACACACGCAGGTCGGATATCAATGGTCCGGTGGTTAGAGTAATGCAGAGCTGAATTTCCCCAGGGAATGGATGCTAAATGCCGCCGTTGGATCTCGTATAGAGTACCCAGGGGATCACTTTTCACGGCTTGTTGTGCTTGTTGTAATCTGCTGGTGGCGGATTCATTGGAGCCGTAGTGGATCCGCTCGAGGTAGAGGGTGAGTTGGTCGGGGGTGTAGGAGTAGGAGGTATTTGATGCCATTTTGGATGTGTAATGTACTATAGGATGCGAATGATGATATCTATAGGAAGTGGGATAGTAGTAGTAAATATGAACGTGGCCACGTTAGATTAGCAGTCATGAAATTCTACGGAGATCCGCCGGCGTTTTGCGGATGAGGAGGGGGGAAGTTTTCAGTAGGTACCCCAGGAACTACTAAAACTACTAAGCAAGTTACTTATTGATAACTATCTCATTGGATGGGAACTGACTCGATTGGGTCCGAGGGTTCAATCAATCGGGCCCCCCCCCACATTTACTATCCATGTTCGGGAGTGGCGGTGACATTTGTCAGGGACGATCCGGGAGAAAATATAGATGGATGGCACATTGTATCTATATTGTTAGTATTTAGTAGTGATTAGCTGTTGTCGGATGAATGGGAAATAGAGAATAGAGAAGCGGAGTTTGACAGACGGGATGCATGTAGATCCGATCGGTCGAATGGATAGAAAGTATTATTACTATCTTGTGTGACTATTACACTACTTAAAATTGAAGCTTTTCACACATGATGTCAATGCAATTGATCCTCGGTTATGCAGGAAGGATTCTTTGCAGCTTATCTGATCGATTTCAATTAACTATTCTTATACCCCTCCATATATCATCAATCTACTACTTACCACATACTCCGCATAAGTTACAACTCAGTATCTATCTACACACTTCAACTCAATCCAATAATTATGTCCACCCTCGAAGAAAAGATCTCCCTCTTATACAACTACTCCGCCTGTGATGTACATCCCCCATCCCCTTCACCAATCCACCCACCTACCCATCAAAAACATCCATCCAACTAATAAATAATAAAACCAGGTCTCCGACGCCCTCCTCAAACTCCAACCCGTCCCTCCCAACACCCCACCCCGAGCAGGCTACATCGCAGACCTAAGTACATCCCCCCAATTCCACCCTACCCATCACCTACATACTAACATCAAAACAGCACCCTACTACCCACCCTCCAACACCCAACCAAAAACACCCCCCAAACTAATCGCCCCAGCCAGCACCCTCCAATTCATCCCCAAATCCACCCCTACCCCCACAACATCAAAGGCAATCCCCCCCTCAACGCACTGGTCCGACCTGACCACACCCTCCACCATCCTCGTAATCTCCCAACCGGGCGACCAGCACTGCGCCGTCGTCGGGGGTATCATGGCCCTGCGGATGAAAGTCCGGGGTGTGCTTGGCGTGGTAGTGGACGGGAGAGTGCGCGATCGCGCGGAGCTCAAGGCCTCTGGGCTGGGGATCTGGGCGAGGGGAGGGTCGACGGTGGGGAGTGGAGCGGAGGCGAAGGCGGGGGAGATGGGTGGGGAGGTTTGTGTTTCGGGGGTGACTGTACGAGAGGTAAGAAATCTTTTGTGTCACTGGGGTTTGGGGTTAAAGGGTGTTTGTTTGGCTGATGGGTGCACAGGGAGACATCATCTTCTGCGATTACGAGGAAGGAGGAGTGGTGGCTATACCTCGGGAGTTGCTGGATCGGGTGCTCGAGGTGATGCCGAAGTTGGTGAGCATGGATGATAAGGTTAAGGAGGCGGTAGAGGGGGGGATGAGTGTTTTTGAGGCGTTTGGGAGGTTTAGGGGCAAGATTTAGGTCAATCCCTCTACTCTACTGTATAGTTAGTGGGGTGGGAGGGTTGGTAGGGTCAATTTGTATACAGTATAGTTGGTATAGTGGTGTGAAGACCAGCTTGAAGTATAACGAGAATTAGATACAAATCGCTAGGAGACACAACAAAATCATCAATCTAAGTAAGTTACACACAACCTTTTTGATTTACTCCGCAACCCAAACGGCCGCCATACCCATACCTGTGCCCACGCACATGCTGCTAACGCCGATCTTCTTGTTCGTCCGCTTCAGCTCCGTCAGCAGCGTGCTGATCTGACGGGAACCCGTGCAGCCGAGAGGGTGTCCGAAGGCGATTGCACCACCCTTGGGGTTGATCTTCTCTTGCGGAAGACCCAGCTCGTTGATGCACCAGACGCACTGCGAGGCGAACGCCTCGTTGATCTCGTAGATGTCCACGTCATCCTTGGTGATGCCGGCCTTCTCCAAGGCCACGGGGATGGCCTTCCACGGGCCGATACCCATGAGCAGGGGCTTGACACCGACGACGCTAGCAGCGACGTACTTGCCGAGGATCTTCTGTCCCAGGCGCTCGGCCGTGGAGCGCTTCATCAGCAGCACGGCAGCAGCACCGTCGGAGATCTGGGAGGCGTTTCCGGCGTGGATGGATCCGTCCTTGGCGAATGCGGGTCGGATCTTGCCCAGCGACTCGGGGGTGATGCCGTCGCGGATGCCGTCGTCGGCCTTGACGGTGATGGTCTTCTCCTCGCCGGACTTGGGGTCCGTCCACTTGACTTCCAGAGGGATGATCTCCTCGTTGAAGAGGCCGGCTTTCTGGGCCTTGACGGCCTTCTGGTATGAGGCGGCGGCGAAAGAGTCCTGGGCTGCACGGGTGACGTTGCGGTCTTTGGCCATCTGCTCGGACAGAACACCCATGGGAACCTTGCAGTTGGCCGACTCGGGGTGGGCCTCGAGAAGCTCGGAGAACTCAGTCACGGCACCGGGGCTGATGCTCGTTAGCTTACAGATCACAGAGGGTGAGGTGACGGGGCGGAGCTTACCCGTATTGAGACGACATGCTCTCGACACCAGCACCAATACCAACATCGATCATGCCCGATTTCACGGCATTGGCAATATCCACGATCGCCTGAAGACCGCTAGAGCACTGACGGTTCAAACTCTTGACAGCAGTAGACTCGGGGAAGCCCGCAACCAGGGCGGCAGCACGGAATTCCGTCGCACCACCACCCGGGGCAAGGACGGAGCCGACAGCGATGTCGTTGACCTGGCTGGGGTCGATGCCGCTGCGGTCGATAACCCCCTTAAAGACACCGGCCAGCAAGTCAGCGGCAGCGGTGTCCTTGAAACCACCTTTTCCACCCTTTGTAAGAGCCGTACGCAGAGCGCAGGTCACGACGATATCATCGGGGTGCTTCTCCGTGATGGCGGAGACTCCCTTCTTGCCACCAGGGCCGAAGTGGGAAGCCACCTGAGACAGACGTTGTTGGGCTAGTAACGCATGGCCGTTAGTTTAGAACCCTTTTGAGACTGATAAGAGGCTGCTGTAGACTTACCGGAAGACATGATGACGTCAACGGGAGACTTGAATGTAAAGAAATGAGATGCGCTAGTGGTATCTCCAAGGGAATAGAAAAAAAGTTTTGAGGAGACTGAAGATACGAAGAACTGAACCCCTGGTCTTATAAGAATCCGGGGCAACGTGGAGAAAGCCAGTCACTTGCAATCAAACCGGCTGGGCTGCTCAGCTCTGCTTCAATGAACCGAGGCTTATGCGCATCATTGTTGTTCCGCGGAGGCGGGTCACGGGATGTCGGTCCACGAGACAGCGGTTTCATGTGAAAAAGCAATGCACTGGAATGGTTGATGGGGAGTTAGTTGCATGTGCTGCTTTTGGGGATTGGATGCATAGTGGTACGTCATGCGATCAGCAGGACCAAGAAAGATGAAGGCAGATATTACTATGGTCTGGTGGTGTCCTGCAATGATTAGTGATCTTGATGCATACTAGTGTCACATGCCTATGCAACTGCTTTGTTTCAAAATATATATCAAGTTTTACCCCGTCTTTACGTTCCCAACAATCACCTCTACCACATTATATGCAATGTAACAAACTGGATAATAGACAATATATAATTAATAACCAGCCTAGAAAATCCCTATACTACTAATTAATACTATGTACTACGTAGTAAATAGTATGAAAGTCCACCACACGAACCAATCACCACCGAGCGGAACCCAACCTACGCCATCAGGCTAGTCTCTCCGCGGGCGGAATCCCACCCGCCCGGCGACAACTTTTCCTCCGCAATTCAAGATCATCCTTGACCTTCTATATCATCATCAGCCTCAATCCACCCCAACAAACAGACCTGGCATCATTCCAATGACCTCCTCCCTCCTCTTCCCGCGGCGCCTCGCCGCGCTCACACTATCAAAGCCCCTATTCCCAACACCAGCAGCAGCAGCAGTAGCAGCTACCCGCACCCTCCCATACCTTCACCACACCCAAATACAACAGGTACGCCTGCCCACAATCAACCAACCAAGCAACCATCCAAAATATAACGCAAACTAACCACCAAACCAAATCAAAACACAGACCCGCCCTTTGTCCCAAACCACCCTGACCCTCTCCTCCCCCTTCCGCCTCAGCACCAACAACAACCCGAACACATACGACCCCGAAGAAGGCGAATACTACAGTCCCTACAAACCGAAACGGCAATGGCCACCGGACATGTCGAAGCTCTCTCCGAAGCATCAGTTCCGGTTAGAACGGAAGTATCGTCGTCGGGCGGCGCTGAAATATGCCCGGCCGAAGTGGGTTAAGGCGACGAAGATTACGCAGTGGGTGGTTATTGGGTGTATGTATTTCTTTTCCACTTTCATTTCCAGGCATCAGGCATAAATTTGTGTGGGAGCGAATTGAGTTTGGTTAGATTTGGACTAGGGTGGGCTGACGTTCATGATGGGATTTAGTTGTTCTGGTGTATGCGTTGTTGTTTATGGAGTGGGATGAGCGTGGGAGTCCGTTTGATGAGGTGAGTAATCTATCTATCTGTGTGTTGGATATGGTTGAGCGGGTTGTTAACTGTGGCTAGATTCGACGGAACTTCTTTGCGGGTGTCAAGGGTGCTTTTTCGACGCCGCCGCCTCCTCGTCCTGTGAAGAGGTCGGAAGATGAGTCGGGTGCGCAATAATCAGGTCAAGCCAGGTGCTGGAGGTTTACAGCGGTATATCATTAGACTAGACCACTCCGTTCAATCTACACTGTATAGTATCCTATCCTGTACAACTATCTTATGATTGGAATATAATGACAGCGAAGCTTAAGCCGCTCATGTTGACAACAGTAGAACTAAGCATAATCCACATCGGTCATGTCGTGCCTGCTATAACGCATCTGTCCAAGAAAAAGAATGATCGGCCTGACATGCAATCAAAGAACGTCAATATCGTCAGGTCTGTGGCCCTATGCCGTCATGAGTCGTTTCGCCGTGGCCGTCAAGTGACGGTGAGATGCACCCAAAACACCGCAGAAATGCCAACGCCGTCCAATCCCGGTTCTCCAAAGTCACAATGATGAATAACAAACAGATCAGGTAACAACAACAAGTCAAAAACAGTAAAAGCCGTCATAATGCCGTGTCAACGTCGCCATCCAAGTAGAGACGTGACCGGTCTGCGCAGCCATAGACTTACGTCTAAAGCCAATTCCCAAGGCCACTGTTGCCTTGGGCCCCGCCACGGCTAGCAGGGACATCCAGCGCAAGTTCCAGCTTGGGAGGCTGTTCGTCCAAGACACCCTTTCTGGGGCTTCCAGCTGCTGCCTTGATAGGGGACTTGCTCGGCGATCCAGGCTCCGGCCGAGGAGGGCCCTCGCGGACAGAAGTGTATGGCCATCCGTCATCTACAGCTGCAGCAACCCATGTCTTCAGGCAATCGTGCACGGAGGAATAAAACTTCTCCTTGCATGTTCGCAAACTGCTGCCCATGACTTTCTCGAATCCCGAAGCTCGGAACTCATCTCGGAGCTGGTTACGTTCTTCACTCGTAGGCAACGACGCCACCAGGCCATTCATGAGGTCCAGGTGCGCAGCCAGGTAGTTAGTCGCATCCCATTCCACGCCACCAACATACGGAGCTGCGGGAACTGGAGGCCTAGGGGCGGGGAAATGACGCTCCCGGTAGCTCATGCACGACTTGTCGTCTTTCAAGATCGGGATCACGTTGAGATGATGCAGGAAGATCCAGAAAACTTCCTTGGTCACATTGGTAACCTCCTTGCACCAGACTCGGTAGGGGCGTGACTGATATATGTTCGCGATGAAGCTCAGAGGCTGACTCTCCTCCGGGGGAGACGGGTCGCGCAGGTAGGATAAGATACGTGAAGCCCGGCTGGCTGCCATCTCGTCGGACGATACAGCAGAGAGCTGAGTAAACAGGAGATTGATGATGATCCCACGTGTTGTGTACTCGCTTGGGCCCTTCTTCTCTTCGTCAAAGAGCATTCGCAGCAATGCGGGGAACAGTTCGCCCTCGATGTTGGTGAGATGTTGCAGAGCGATGGACGTCGTGCAAAGAGCTTTCAAGCATAACAAGGTTTCGTGAAGCAAGGTATCTTCATGCTCTTCCCTATTCAAGTTATGAGCCCCCGGTTTACCAATCAGCGAATACGTTAAACTCACCTCCATTCAACCTTCATGATCCGGTAGAGCAGTTGCACCACCTCATCCATCCCACCGTCCGCAATGAACGTATCAACCCAGCTGACGGTTTCATTCCGGAGGAGGATGCGAAGCTTGTGCATTTTCCCGACCTCAACCATTTCTGGCTTCTGAATTTCTCTCAGATAATGCACAAAATCCGATGGATCAGCTGCAGTATCACAAGCTGTGGCAGAAAGTGAGGTAGTGGAAGCTGACGGGGTACCGAGCCTGGAGAATCCTGTGGGCTGCGAATAGTCGGCCGACTTTGGACGCCTATAGAAACTTCCGCTATCGGGGCGCTTCTTGGGCGAAGAGCTGCCTTTGGAGAATGAGAAGCCGCGACTGCGGGATCGCGAGCGAGATCCTTTGCTGTCTTGGCCATGGCGGTCCTCCTTTGGCTCCTTCTTGCGCCCGCGACGACCGGTACTATCTGTACCACTAGCACCAGCGCTATGCGGCGTAGCATTTTCAGCTCGATCCTTCATGATGAAATCTGCCTTTATGTTGGTGTCCAAAGACCTCATCTTGTCTCGCATATTATGCGGTATATTTCTAGCATCCTGTCTCGTCATCAGTCTAGGCTCTTGATGTCAAGAAAGAAGAGTAGTTCGGGATGTACTAACCAGTAGCTTTTCAAACTCGCTCTCAAGCTCCTTGCCCGTCAAGCGTTTCTGCAGTTCAGCCTCCTGCTCTTTTGCATTGAATGCTGAGATTGCCGCTTGGACGCGAGAGAGTCGTTTCGGGCTTGCCTCAGGTCTGGGTTCTACTGGGGGTTGGTATTCCGGGCGTGAGAGTGCTCTGGGCCTCCCATGTTTCTTGGGCGAGGCGGGTTCTGGCTGGTTACCCGAAGCCAGCTGGTTCGCCGTCATGCCATCTATAGGATCCATTAATTCTTTCACCTTGCGATTGCCCGCGAGGTAGTCCGACTTTGGGCGTGGCTTGGGATCCCCGCGGGCTCTGAGAGAGGGTCCATCGTAGTCATAGAAGTTGCGCTGAAGAGTGGGACCATACTCCCTAGGGGTGTAGAGGGGAACCTCCTCCTGTAGAGTTCTACGCTTATGCTGGGAGCTGGTAACCTCAGGAGGATTGTAGTACGGCGGTGTTGGGTAGTGGCCCCACATTGGAGAGGGCATGCTATCGACAGGGTCCGATGGGCTGCGGTTTTCTTTGTCCCGGGCACTTTTCGAGTTTTCTCCTTTTCTTCCGCGTTGGGATCGTTTCAGGATAGCCGTGAGACTGTTGGCCGACTTTGCTTTCTTCGGCTTCAAATTCGCTGCTTCGTCATCTGGCGTCTCATCCGACTTGTCCTTGCGTTCCATATAGCTCTTGAGAGATTTCAGTGAGACGGCGCTTTTTGTCTTTTTGTGTAGAGTGTGTTTCCCTTGCTTTCCAGGTGATCTCTGGGTTGAACTAACGTCTGCTGAATCCCGGTTCGGGGCTATTTCTGCCAGTGGCTGTTCCGCAGGGTGGTATGGTCCATCGACTGGGGGCGCATATGGGCTGCCACTAGGCTGGCCTGTCTCAACGACCCTCGGGGCGAGGACATCATCTGCAGATGAAGTCCGTTTGTGGGCCTTGGATGACCAGATTGCTCGCAGGACGGATGGTTTGGTAGGTCCACGGGAGGAATCGTCAAAGATGCTCGGGGGTTGTATGCTGGGAGCCATGTCTTATCGCCTTTGGCCCGAAACTGATTAGGAAACCACAGGCTGTGTTAGCAGATGAGGACAGCCATAAGGAGGAGGTAGGCGCAGGCGACTCACGGTGAAAGGGTGCTCCCGCGTAAAGATAGATCGAACACCAGCGAAGGATACGAACGTAGCGGAAAATTCTATGCAAAGCAGGATA